GGATAACCTGGGGACGAGATGGTGCCAGAATCTTCCAAAAACGTCCCTCCACAACTGGTCACTGGGTGGAATATACAGTGGCAGTGACATAGTCAATGTCATTTACTTAACTATGTAGAGAGTCACAAATACACTTACAACGCAGTTGCAAGAGAAACATCGTAGACTTTAAGCTGAAAAGTAACAATCCCATGAAATATTCAGCTTTTAAATTTGTTCTTTCAGCTCGTCAACACCACTTTCTTGTAGTTATATTGTAAAACCGCGACAGTATTAGGGGAAGATTGTTGACTAATGACGGTTATTAACATTTCAACCAACCTGCACGATCGGGTCCTGTCCAGTCAGTGTTAGGAACCCCACTGTTACACCCCTCCCCCTGACAACAGTCCCTACAGACCCCGGTACCGTCACTACTGCTCCTACAGGTGTCAGACACGGCACAGCTGCCGGTACAGCCACGCTCCAACCAGATGGGGACAGATCCCACTGTCACCACATCAACCTTCACCAGGAAACACCGTCATTCAAATAAATGTGTAAGTATAATATATAGATAACTTAGGGGGAAACAGCAGGTGCTGGTGTTGTAGTACAATATCATGTAGACAGACGGCGCTACTGCACGGTATCATTTGTTGCTCGCTGGGTGTTTTGCTTGTCTACAAAGAAAAACGCTCAGATCACTAATGATGCTCTTTCGAGTTCATCATACAGTTAAACAGCCTAGATTTGAAAAAAAAACTGTGCCAGTTGCATATGATGAAATACTCAGCTCATTTTGACGAGACCCGTTTGCTAACAAACACGACAGAACTCACATAGCAAAACTTCCCTGATTCCCCGCATGTGGTCAGGTCAGTTTTGGTCACACGCCTGCCACAGACTGAGGAGTTGACTTGAGTAGTTGAGCAGGAATAGCACTGTAGGGCCGCCACCACACAACCTGGAAATACACTGGGCGTGAATGTCATCTTTCTGGAAAACTCGTTACATATACAGCTTGGGAAATGGATTCTCTATAGAGTCATCTTTCTGTCGTGTTAGTCGTTTGCGCCCTAGCTTGGTTCCTGGGTCTGTCTACGTATCGCAGAATGTGTTCCTAACGCTCTATATTCTCCAGATAAATGCTGTTTCCTTTGAAAATGCAGCGAAAAGGATATCGTATCTGAATGCGAGCCTAAACAAAAATAAGGACAACGTTTTTTAACCGTAGATGGTATCAGGTGCCCCTTTAGCTCTCGGTCATCTTTCATCTCAAGTCAATCAAAATCAGATATCTTTAATATGCTCCTTTCATGTCCTACTCAGTTATCAGTGTACGTTGGAAAATTCATATTTGAATCACTACAAAAGCGACACCATATTGTAAATAGCTGATATATCCCCTGAATTACAGAATTTATAATACTCTTCCTAAGAAAACACAATAGATTAGCTCGTTAGAATCATATTTTAGTATTAGTTTGTGTATGTACCATTGTTGATTCTTTGCCATACACTGTACCAGCTACAGTTGTTGAGCAATAAAGTTGATAGATTTGATCTTTCATCTCAAGTCTCTCCAACTCTCAAACGGCACCGTGGTCGTTACAAACCCCTCGCGTCTATAGGTGATGACCGGGTTACTCGTATCTAATTTGTAAAAACTCTTACCGTTCATTATGAAGAAGATAACAGAAAGCGCTGAAACAACACGCCCCTTCATGATGTTTGCGTCCAGTCCGCGAAAGCAACGTGGAGGCCCAAAGTGCGCAGTAGTGTCGGATGTAGCAACAACACGACTGCTAAACGCCTTCTTCATGCGGGTAACACGACCCAGTTGGCTGGTGCCCAAACTCTCACAAATATCACCCCAGAGAAAAACAGGACTGAGGAACCTAGTTGAGTTTCGCCATTCGGTATTACTGTTTACTGATTAGGATTAATGTGAGTACACAAGTTGTACCAAAAAAGAACACTATAGTTTGAGACATGTGCCTGTTACTGCTATCTGGAATAAAAAACGTACTCCTGACACCTGAAACTTTTCATCGGTGTATAGCTAACGGCAGCAGCTGCAGTGTCCGTGACTTTACGGAGAGGTGTTAATACGAAGCAGCTGGAGAGATGGTAACCCGTGTGTTTATGGGGTTACCCTGTGTTGCGTGTTGATCTACACGGTTCGGCTCGGTGCTCAGGTAAGGTCGTCGGTTGGGTCACGTCAACATGTTCATGGAATGTGGCCAGGCTGTGGTAGTGCTTCTGTGTTTTCGGTTGGAAGTAAGGTCATCCAAGTCTGAGTGAGTCATATAGAATAGGGCTTTCAAATCTTTTGGATTGATATTGTATTGATTGCCTTGTCACAGTTCCCATACATTTTACATTGTACGACTGTCGAGCAATTAATGTAAAGTTCACTTCTTTCTAGTAGTTAGGATCTTGGATTTAAGACTTCTTTTCATCATGACTTACTAGACCGTGAAGATACCATGTTGCGGTACTATGCTCATTGAGAGGCACTATCATATCTAGCTGATGACTTCCTTACTCTGTATCCCTTTCCTAAGGAAGCATGGATAGTCAATAGTCGGAGTCGACAACTGCCAGGAGTTGATGATAGCACACAAATAAATGTCATGAGTTGAATGTTTCTATCAGTTTATATGGTGATGATAAAAGACAGCAACACCAAAAGGCGAGGCATGAAAGGTAACATATGCGCAAAGTTACTTTATTTGATGACTGCATCAGGAATTGCCGGCATATCATTTGTCCTATAGAATGTCTTTCGTTGGAAACTACATTGTATTCTAAATCACACTTTGTGTTACACAAATAGATATTTATCATGTCAACTATTTCTCTTCTCAAATTTTTACGTCTATATTTTTCTCTGTTGACTGCTCTTACCCTGTCATTATTTATTTTCCAGTTATTTTTCAATTATTATGGTGGCATTTCAGCTTACTTCGATAGGGGGAATTTGTTAAGGGCACTTTAACTCAATAAAACTGTTCTATTTCGTACCGGTCCAGACAATTTTATTTAAGAGGGATGCAGGTTCTAGAGTAAAATCTTCCCAACGAATCTTAATTCTCTTGTGTGTCTTGTTCGTCTTAACACTTTTATGGTCTGTCAATGTTAGAGGGGCGAGCCAGTCAATCTCTCTTTAAGAGTCGTAGCTCCCCACGTCATCAGGTCAAAATACCATCACTTCTAACAAAGTAGACATCTTAAAATGAAAGCCTTAATGTCAGATTAATATAATGCGTTTCTTTATTAAGTACGTATGGATTTGTGTAACGTCAGTTCCGCTTGATCAAACAAGGAGAACATCATGAACAAATCATTTTAGTAAGACTATCACAAACATATGAGAACAACGCCAGTGATACCCGCCGGTCCCAGGGCAACAGCCGCTCAAGTTAGAAAGTAGTCCGGACAGAGGATGACAGGTGTTTGGTTGAAACAGTCAGTTTTGTACTACCACTCATGTTGTTATGAAAGTTTTAACAGACGACTTAATTCACATAATTCACTCACATTTGCATAGAGCTTTGATATTATTCGCTGAAATAGATATGAAGTTTAGATCTCTACTCTAGGTTCATTTCGAAATGCAGTTGTTGGCCTGGGTCTGGTGATGTTGAACATTTTATGACAATGATGCTATGGTAGATATCGTGGCGTTGTTCGTGCACTGCTTGTGTCCCTATCACAGAACAGAAGCTATGGTGCCGATGGCAGCGGCGATCAGCACAGTGAGAGACACGTGGACGGCGCTGGCGCCACCGTAGTCAGGCGTCTCGAAGTTGCAGTTGTCGGTGGTGCAGCAGCGGTAGCAGTCGCCCGTGCCGATGATGTTCTTGCAGTCGTCGGTGACGTCGCATGAGCTGGCGCAGCCTCGCGACACGTGGGTCCGAAGCGTGGCGACAGTCGTCACCCGGACCTGCACGAAAGGTGTGTACGTGACGTTACCGACTTGAGTGGCATTTTGGAAGATATACAAGGCAAAACAATGTTTTATTTGGTAAACAACTTTTTACAACACGTACTCTTGATACACGTATATAATAGCGAACGGTAGCCTGAAGTATTTTGGCCGAAGGCTAGGTGCCATTGTATAATACAATCAAGAACGATGTACTTTTCTTGGAATGTGTCTTTTTGTTTTAGATTTGTTTCTTGTTCACCTGTTGTTGTTGTTTCAATAGTAAAGTACGACTTCGTTACTTACGTAGCAGTATGATTGGTTCTGAGGGCAGGTCTCAGACATGACTGCAGAGACGTTGTTCTTGCAGTCGGAGTCGTCAGTGAAGGTGACGGAACACTTCCGACACTGCAGGGCTCCTCCCAGACCCACAAATGCTGTCAACAACAGTAGATACGTCATAACTCACAAGAATGGACACGACAAGCACAGACCATACACACTACAAACTAGTGTACAGTCCACGAAAAACTCGGGTTTGGACTGCTAGATTTACATAAGTTTAGCCGTTTTTTTGACTATTCAAAGTCGGCCACTCTGACTCCGGGTATGGGGTTGTAATGTTTTAGCTTTACCTGTCAGGCTATCCATCACAAGGTTAAGCAGGATGTGTAATTACACACATGGCTATGAGATTTATGTATTCTGTATGACAACACCATAGGGACGTTCCCTTTGCCAAAATGGTGTCTGACACTGTTCTGACACGGCATTGTTCTGTCTGTACAGGTGAGCCGACAGTTCTCAGCCAGTTGGCACGCTATCAATTGTGGTCCTATTCATCAGACCATAACCTTGGGGTTTGGTTACTCGATTCAAAGAATCAAATAACAAAGACACAAACGATTGTTTCGTCGTCTGATCTGTTCCAATTCGACAATTTTAAAGCACACTCCACTGTGCGTGAGTCGTCATATCGACGTGATTTCGTACGATTAGATATGCTGTCGCCATTGAGACGGTGGCAGCAGTTCTACAGCATCGTCTCTGTCTGGCGTCCCATCAATGAGGTTATAGTCCCATCGTCAAACACATACACAGTTTTCATTCGGTATAATGCTTTTATTAACACATTAATCTAATGTGTTGATAATGCCCGTGATAGCATGCCCCAGACAAATGCCTTCATTCTTCCATAATTTGTCACTCTGAATGGATCCCACTACTTCTTCATATATGAAGGCCTTTGAAGGGTATGAATTTTAAACCTTTATTCTCGAACCTTCCATCAGTATGAAGAATGGAAAGTGTAGCAATGTGGCACTGAGATTACTAATGAAAACACCCAAACATTCTTGCCTTTCTACATGCAATGATGCGTGTACAATTGTCGAGACAGTTTACACTTCGTTAGACACCTAACGTACTGTGTGACTGGATTCACATACAAGTAAACGTAGCTACACAAAAGTCAAACAGCAAATTCTGCTAAAGCGGTGTTTTAAAAAAGAAAACAAAGGAGTCCAGACGTGTGAAAATTCTTTAATTTCCATGTTGTGGACACGGAAACCTGTCCCGTGTTCTCAACTGTTACTGGTTTTGTCCTGGGCGGGAATTGAGATACATGTGTGCGGACACTCATACGAACAGTATATTCTGCCTCGGGTATGAAACTGATCACAATCTGCGTCAGACCTAACTATCAACAATGGCTACCGTTTTCAGTAGAGTCGAATAGAGCTCTTATTTTCAGTTCATACCGCGGCCGTTTCTGATTCAACTTGTTTAAATATCAGAGCCCATGATACCACACACGCAACACGTTTCTGCGCTTGCCAAAGAAGAACACACTGACTTTCCTCATTCAAGCCAAGCGTCGTCGTGCTATCTGTATGTTGTCATAAACTTACCATGACGAAAAAGGGAAATTGTGTATATCTACGAATAGAACCACCAAGCATATTTACGAATAGAACCACCTTTGAGGCAAACCTCTGATAATTTTTCAGTGTATACGACAATCGTCAACCGCTGAGTCACAGCTGACATATTTCATTCACCGCGCTAATGTAGATTAATCGTATGAAAAATGCGTAACGGGATCAACATAACGTTAACACACAACATGGCTGCTAAACACCAAACTTCTACCGATATCTTATCATACAGGTTTGATCATTCCTACTCAACGGCAAAAACAACCCAGAGCGATTGGCATCTATGGGTCTCTAACTAGACGCTACACTAACGACAGATTACCAATAACCTAAAGCTATCAAGACTTACCTCCAACAAGCAGGATTGCCAGAATTGTTTTCATCTTTGCCACTTGTTAAACCGATCAAGGAACAGCTGTTGAAACCTGTAGAAACCTGCAGAATGCAGAACAGATGTTATGTATGTTGTTGTTGGCCGAATAACGTGGCAAAATGTCTATCTATGATTAGTATGAATATCTACGTATACATTAGTGTATGTATCTGACTTGGATAATCTAACTGACGGCTAAATGAACAGATAACGTAATTTTCAAGCACATGTATGACTTTGGCTTGAACGTATTTTTGTAGTGCTTTGACGTAACTGAACTGAACTGAACCCTGGTGGAGCTCGAGCGAAGACGAAGACAAAACACGCACCACAACTTGAGACGAACACAGTGAATGGGCGCGCGAATTAACCTGAAGCCATATAAGTACATCTGATGGGCGTTTAGAGACATTTTTTTGATCTGGATAACAAAACTTGATTCATAAGGAACTAAAAAAGTACCTGGTATTTGCCTATGTAAGTTGCGGAGGACACTGACAGGGTGCGCCTCGGTCTGTGGCGAGGATACAAAGATGGCTAACAATTGCAACACATCTGTGCACAGGTATGTAAGTTATGACACGCCCTGATTTCAAGGTAAATGAAGGAAGAGACCACAGAAAGTATATGATGAGGGGGTGTTTCGCAAGGAACATTTATCGTGACAATGCCATTTAAAGCCAACGGAAAGTAAAGGAGGAAAAGAGACCTAAACGGGTTGTCAGAAAGCAAAGAACAACGTTAAAGATGTCCAAACACGATGCAATGACAGCATCCATGGTAGCTAACTATCTGGAGCCCATTCCCCTGTCCGTACTGCCATTACCTTTCTAATCCTACAATGGACAGACCCAGACCTGGATAAACCAGTTTCACTGAACTAACCAGGGCCTTGAATACTGTCCTTTGATCCCATAGTAATTGTACAGGTTGACTCACCTAGCTAGATGCGTACGTGGGAAGACACAGCGACCTTCTTTCTTTGTGCGCTCAAGAACAAAGGAAAGGTTCGGCTTACCGGCACAGCACCAGGTGGTAATGATGGGGGAGCCACCACGCATGCGCTCCAAATCACAGCACGAATATTGCGACCACGTTTCCGTATAATTTTGTACTTAAGAGACATCTTCAGAAGTTCTGTCTATTTTTGATTGAATCTATCTGTATTAAGTCTTCCCATTTTTTTTTACTTTTTCAGTTTTTATACATAAATTTGATCAGTACTAGTGAACTGCAGACCTTTTGGCGGGATTATGACAATGGTGACTCAGACTTGATTATGAGTAAATTGGTTTATCTGAACCTGTGCCAGTTGACACCTTTGGCAAAGGAGAGTATGTTTCCTTTCTCAGATCTGTAACCACATTATCATCAATGGTCTAGAAACTAGGTATATATAATCGATGCATCAAATAGAGTGTTGTTGTTCTCATTCGTCTGCTGTGACACAAGATACATATTTCAAGCTTGGTTCCGAACTTGCACATCACGTCAACACAACTTTAGTGCTGCACTGCCCTCTAGCAGATATCATTGGTACTGAACCGACAATGTCAATGAGCCAAATGCGCTGTACGGTCATTGTACGTTCATACTATAGCTAAATTCAAAACTCCAGACTAATAAGTGCGCGCTAACCCCGTTGACATTGGATTTTGTCCTGATCCTTCATATAAACGGCGGACTATGATAAGTACAATCTGATTCGATAGCACTCGACTTGCCGCATCTAGACTGCCGTGAGCAAGGGAAGAGGGCTTGTTGTTTCGGGTTGTGGTTCATAGAATAAGAACTAAGGTTATTTTGACAAGTGTTTATACTGGTCACAATATAGATAGAAAGCGCTAAAGCTATCCGTTGTGAAAGGGTTAAAAATTATTTTCTTCTTTGACAACAAAGGACCTACTTGCTGAAAGCTGTCATAAACAACTGTCACGGTATATTGAGTAGATCTACTATTTTCAAACGCTGCTTCAGGGCCACGTCCCTCATTCCGATTGTTACTTCCTTCCCCATTCCTCCTAATATGTACACGTCAGACTTATTGAAAGGGCACTTACTGGCAACGGTTCAAAGCTGTAAATCCGAAATGATGAGCAATGATGGGCGTTGTCCCCAATCTCTGCAGCAGTTCTAACTTTCAACTGATTGATATTTACTTCTAAGTACGATGACCTAAATATCTACAAAAGGATAGTAAACAGTAAATAAAACGTGACCTTCATCTCCTAAAAAACCAACAGGGGGACGTGTAACGTACGTTACGGCCAGTAATAGTACCCCCAAATAAGGAAGACGCTATCAAATTTTACATCAACTTCCATTTCTCAGACAGCACCATATATTTGACCTTTTAAACGAATGGTTATTCATCAGATAGTTTTAGTTTCCCGCCTTAATGAAGCCATTGAGACTGGGCCGAGATCGAAAACGTGAACGATATCAAAAATGGTCTTACCCAAAAAAGCTGCTGTGTCTGCTCCGGCCGATCACAAGCTGGTCACGCGGTACACACACGCCTCTGCCCGCGCCTCTGCGCCACGCCGCGCCCTTTCCAGGGCGTTTAAGGGAGTTGAACACTTGCCAAGTCTGATGTCATGTCGAGATGAAAATCTTTAAGGGAAAGATCAAAGCCAAACATGAGATACTGTGGGAGGGGTAAGATGAGAGAAATATTGACTTGACACACCACACATGGAGGAAGGTCCATAAATACCCAGAGAATACGCACCTGCAACTGGTAGACGTAACTTTGACGATAAGTTGGGCCGAAATGAAAGTAAACATTCTGACAACAGCTTCGTGATGTTAATTTTTTGTACTGATTCATGTACGGAATTATTAATTCATGAACGACTAACCTCTACCAGCTTCGGAAGCGGTTGGAAAGAGTAGAAATTAGCCAAACTGAGACAGATGACATGTCAGGAGAGTTGGTCCACGATAAGAGTACAGTTTGCAGTTCTACAGTCTCCAGCCGCTTTCCGAAGCTTGGTAGAGGCTAATGAACGACACCCAAATACGCGCGCTCGAGAGCTAGAGAGAGAGCTCGAGATCCGTAGTCGCATATATGCATATTGGACCACGACATACATGTATGGTCTTTGGAGTTGCTCTTTTATTCATGTGCAATGTTGTTGTTTGTTCTTAATCATCGGGCACGAGTACGAGTACATGTATCTATGGCGTTTGGCTTTTGGAGAATAAACATAATTGAGTCGCTGCTTTTGACACAGCCTTGGCATGCCTCCAGCCATGCACTATTATCACGCGAACATCTTCTGACTGGGAAATGATTCTAGCGGGGCAGGAAGTCGCCATGTGACGTTTTTTTCCTAATGACCTAGTAGCCAGAAAAAGAAGTCGGTTACATGAATATAACTATTAACTAGAAAGGCCGACATTTGCTTTGGAGCAAATGCAGCGGATGGCTTCACCACATTTTACGACATGGCAGGGAAAGAAGGAGAACTACACAAGGGAAAACAATCCTTTACGTTGATATAACTATAGTATGAAGTGACAACAGTTGGATAGCTGTCCTAACATTATTGGTTAGGATTTTTAATTATATTTCAGTCCATACCATGGTATGGATGAAATATATTGTGTTCGAATTCCCTCATGTTTCTCCTCCTTCTCCTCTTCCTGCCTAACTCGGTCAGAGGGATTCAACTCAGCCATCATTCAGCCAAATGACCTGAAATTTGGCATGGAGGTAGAGTGGGCAAATACCCCCAGAGTTTTTTTTTCATTTTTTTGAAACATGCCTTTAAAAAAATTTTATGAAGGTTTTTGGGAACATTTTTCGAAAAAAAAAAAAAAGGATTTTTGAATCCTGAGCCCTGATGTTACAACCAAATGATCTGAAATTCGGTATAAGGGTACCTTGAACGTGTGTCTACAGAATAGCAGTCACGTATTTGGCATACACCACTTCCAAATGACTCATTTGGGGGACTTTAATGGCTATTTTCAGCAAAAAAGGGCCAAAAGTGCTGTACCCGTTCCATGTTTTATGTAAAGAATGGCGCGTTCCATCTGCCGTTGGCCATGGAACACGTGTTCCATTGCGGGTTACCTGAGGTCACATTGCACCTTAGTCGTGCGTAATGACCCACACATCATCAATTTTATGTGCCTAAGACCTTCAAAATGTATCAAATCTCATCATTGTTAGTATTTGCATACCTGTAATAACATATAATAAGATTAGTAAAGCTTTCGAGATTCAAAGTACTTGTTCTTACATCTTTGTTCTCATATAGCTACTATCTAATTCATTTATTTGAGAACCTTTGCACTGCAGTTTTGCACTGGGGTAAGTTTGGAATAGTCCACTTTTGCGTAGGAGGGAGATGGACTGAAATATGCTGTATTTGCTCCCAAGCAAATGTCGGCCTTTCTAGTTTAATTTCTAGGTTACCTCATCCAGGTTGGAGAATGTTCTCTTCACTAGACCAAGTACTTGATTTGCTTTTTATGACATGAGTTGAATGACTCATGCCCAAATATGTTAACACATTGCTGTAGTACATTTTCTATAACACAGCCAAAAAGCTATAAAGAAAAAAAAAACATTCTAAAAGCTTGTACCACAAAAATGAAAAAAAAAACGCATGGGGTATTTGCCCAATCTACTTTCATGCCAAATTTCATGTTATTTGGCCCTTCAATTTAAAGAAATGGCAGGAGAAGGAGGAGCAGGAGAAGAAGAAGAAACATGAGGAAAAACAATATGTCTTCAGCACATAGTATACTATGTTTCTTCTTTATCTAAGGAAGAAAACCAATTGTGTACGGTAATCCCTTGTGATTCACCCCCAATCTCCTCCCAAGACTGCATGAGGTGCCCTGGAAACGAGAAGAGAGCATTCCTAACAATCCTGGTCACGAGAGTGGGTCGCCATGAAAACATCTCAAAATTTCTGTCACGTGACTGATCTAATAATGGCGGCTCGGGCGATGATGATTCTCGGACGTTTTGCACTTTGACGACGACTACGCAACAAACCGGCACTTGTCGCGGACAGGATGTTCGCCGTACCCACATAAAGACGTCGTCTACGATATTTGACGTTTTTGGATCATTTTAATCAGGCGGCACTAGAGTAGAAGCCCCAAACTGACGACTTACTGAGGACGCTTTGCGAGGTAGGTGGGTACACAGACAGAAACGTCAAGGGGTGTGTTGGTATGGCGTGATTTCCCGGTCTGTTTGGTATGTCTGTTTGCTCTAACTGACCACAGTTAGCATCACGTCCATTTTTCTTTTCATCTGTGGTACAGGAAGGCCAGGAATCCCGAAGACTGCGCTAGCTGGACCGCCTGATTGCCCGACTCTGGGAGGGTGGTACCAGCACAGTGACATACCGGTGTGTATGTGTGGGTGAACCAGCCAGGGACAGGAAGTGGGCTTGACGCAAGATTTCTGGAATGTTAATGTAAATCTCATTAAACAGCCATATGAACTATGAAGAGAAAGCTGTCCAAACGATAATACGACTTCAGTGACTCTCTGGTGGCATGTCTTACTCCGAGTACCGATCTGTTAGGTCACCCATTCGTGAGAGCTCTCCTATGGCGGGTGGAAGCACAACACTGCTGTCAAAACGGTATCAAAGTATCTACAATTATCCATCATCATCATCCCTTATGCCGTCAAGGAACGAAAGCATTTCTGGTTCTGCGTATCGAAGGAGAGATCCTTCTCCAGCGGACAACTATACCACGACTTACGGTCGGAGCTACACGAGTAGTAGTCGCACCCTTCCCAATGGCCCAGGACCACTTGATCGAGAAGGAAACAGAATACCAAAGGACAGGTGGGGCACCTACAATGGCAGCACAAGAACATCACCTATCAAATCTGTTCATACTGACAAACATGACGACTCGTATCGATACACTAGTGACAAGTATGGCGGCAGCATGAGTTCCTCGCGGTATTCGTCGTCAGCTTCAGGTGGCGCGCACGTGACCATCACAAAATTGGAAAGTGGTTCAAAGTCACACAGCGTCTCGGACCTGACAAGCAAATTTGAAAGACTTTCATCAACCAGTGACCCGACCAGTAAAAGTGATCCTTACAAGACCAGGAACACCTTGCCAAGGACTAATTCAATATCCAAACTTAGTTATAAAAGTGAAGATTTGCCATCAAGAACTTCCAATACTTCCTCGAGAGTCTCCAAGACTCAGGTGTCTGGTGGCCGAGGAAGCCAAGAAATCACATTGGACTTCAGTGCAGACAGAAGGAAAGGCAGCCCAGTCCGGGATCGTATGTCCAGATCCAGCTCTGTGGACAGGGAGAACGACAGTCCATCTGCAGTAACAAGACTGACCAACCACGGAACACCTCCGAGCAGTGTAAGTATTTCTGCACGTGTGTACATGTTTGTCAGTTTAAAATGAGCTGTGTTCGGATTCCCTCTGACTCTGAGCAGCTTCATGCATCTGTAAGTCT